TTTCAAGTGTTTCTTTGCTGTTTTCATTGTTTCATTGGAATTGAAATGTAAGGATGGAACGAATACAAGCTAAATAGAACAAAGACTCTTGATGAAGAAAACAATCACAAGAATCTGCGGAAAATTCAGAAATTTAATTATTTATGTTTTCAGATCAGCGAAGTAAAGAACAAGGGGGATATCAAGATTACTATTTGATGTAATTGATGCAATTCTCTGAATGAGACAATGGGGGTAAAGCAAGTTCGCTGATTGCATTGGATGTCAAAAGAACAGTCAAATTAAAATGTTCATTCATTCTCTCAGTGGTATGTATTTCTTTTAGCTTCTTTTAAAAAGAAATTTCCTTGGCGATTTCCCAAACCAACAGTTTAACCATTTCCCATGTGCCATGGGGACCAAATTTTATATATTAGGGTCATTTAGTCAGATGCTTTTACAGGAAGAAGTTAAAAAATCAACAGGGTCTTAACATTAAACTTACACTTCATATTAAAGAGTAAATTTTGAATCTCCGTAATTTACTGTAGTTTCTTAATCTTTTACATGCCAGTGTTCCTTTTCTGGAGCATCATGTTTATTATTTTTTTAAATAAACTATCATATCTATCAGCATGAAAAAATTACTGTTTATTATAAAAGGTATGATTGATGTTTGATTAAATATTTCAGAGTAAAAAATCTTCTAAAAAATCGGTTTTTTTACGCTTCTTACAGTACTTAAGGAAAAAATTCTATAAAATTCCTAAAAATTCAAATCCACTCAAAACATTTCCTCAGCATGCTTGCAAAAGACAACTTTAATGAGTTAATAAAAGAAATCCAAATAATTACAAGAAATATTTCCTCAAGACTGCGTAAAATTGCAATGTTCCAAAAAAGGAACATTGGCATGTAAAGATAAATACATTCAGTGCTCATTTCTCATAAACATGCCCTTTTTTAGAGCCATTAATGGTATGTCATTTATTTCTGTAGAAAGAAGGGTGGTATGACCTCTCTCACCAAGGGGTGGTGGTAATTGGTTTCAGCTGTATTTCCCTGTTTTGAGCTTCGATATTTGCTTGTTTCTTTGAATAGCAATGACCACATTTGCTTCATTGTTTATATAAGGTCTGTCTTTCTAAAAATTAAAATTTGTCGCTTAGATCAAATGTTTTCTCTGAACAATTGTCTTTTATTGACAATCCACGGAAACACAAAGTATTTTTTGATAACGTTTTTTCATCGCACGTTCTGCCGGCAGATTTGCCTAACAAAGGGTTTATAGCAATATGCACGGTTCGAGCAAAAGGGATGCAAACATCAGAACAGCAAAAGAGATGTCGAAATTTCAACATGGAGAATTTGATTACCGATGGGATGGAGAAGTTTATATGTGCCGCTGGGACGACAATTCTGTTGTAACTATTGCATCACATTTTATCACTTACGAACCATTAGGAAGAGCAAAAAGATGTGTCCGAGCTTAAAAAAAGAACTTGCTCTCCAATCTTGCATTATAAAATTACATAATGAAGGAATGGGGGAGTAAACCTGTTGGACCGACTTCTTGGAGTTATCAACAAACCCTTTGCAGTAAAAATTGGTACTGGAACTTATTTATCAATACACTGAATATGGCAGTGGCTGCTGGGTGGATCTTACACACTGATTTACACAAAAACACCACATTAGAAATAAATCACGTGTATTTTAGAAGTGAAACTACTTTGAATTTACTTCGTGGTGAAACCTAAAATTCACATTATACCTGGACCCCGGGGCCATCATTTGACATCTGCAAGAAAATCAGATGCACATTATATAGTTATATCATCACAAGGGCATTGAGTAGTGTGACAAAAAAAAAACGCTAGAAACATGTATTTTGAATGCAAAAAAAAATGCTCCATGTACATTGCTTCCTGCAATATCATGGACACTGTGAAACTGCTAAAAAGGATTACAAAAAATTAGTTTTTAGAAGGTTTTACATTTTTGTGCTATTGGTTGAAATTCCACTCGCCTTCTAAATGATAAAATATTTTATTTTTTATTGGTAAGACATTTTACATTTTTAAAATCTCTTTTATTCATATTATGTGCATTGTTAGTCAAGCTTGAGTGTAGTGTAAATTTATTTTTATTGCTTCTTTACACTTTTTGCATTGCATTTCTTATAAAATAATATGCTAATTAAAAATTACGTCATTTTTTATGAGTTTTACTTAAATTTTAGTAATTTAGCATCAAATTGTTCAGTAAATCATTAAGACACAAATAACACGCCGAATAAAGAAGTTAAAAAATTCTCATCTGAACACACTAAAAAGCACACTCTTGTTTTAAGAGATTATAAAAATTCTGTTGTCATTCCCTTCTTTCCATCAATTAGCTATAAATTTGCACATATTTTGCAGAAATTTAACTTTCGGGTTGTGTATTCTCCCATCAATAAAATTCCGAGTTCCATACTCAAGGACCCCATTCCGGATATGAATTCCTGGGGGAATTTATAGGATTCCTTGCTAGTGTGGTTTAATTTACATTGGCCAAACTAAGAGAGCCTTAAAACTTCGCGTCAAGGAACATGAGACATATGTTAGAAAAAAGGAAACACAGAAGTCTTCTGTTGCTCAACATTGTTGGTCCGAAAATCACACTTTCAATTTTTCTGCTGCCAAAATTATTCAAAAAACATCTTCCATTGGAGAGTTGGATTTTCTAGAGGCATTTTACATTCAAAAAAATCTTTCTGTTTCATTTAACGATCCTAATTCCAATCCATCTTTGCCTTCGGCCTTTAAAGAAATTATGTTTTAGTTCTGATTTCATCAACAGATGGGCCACTAGCTTATTTTCTGTCCAGGCTTTCTTATCTGATCTGATCATTATATCCTATCTCGCTCATTTGCGCTTTTGCAGCTGAGGATGGTGGTTCGGTAAAACCATCGAAACTAGTCCTGCGAAAATTTTGAAAATATAACGCTGATTTTTGTTGTTTGACTTCTGAATCAGTAAATCATTATTACAGCATAAAATTTTAAAAGATTCATCATACAACGCTTTGTTTTCATGAAGCGGAAAAAAAAGAGAAATGACAGCGTTACATGCCAAAGTTTCAAAAGTGGAACATCAGGGAAATTATAGACAGAATTTTTTTTACCGCAATTTTTTTGTTTTATAGTCTTTTATGGGTGTATTCTAATGGGAGTTGCGACTTTTATTTCTGGATCATTGCGCGGTATGTAAAAAGGTTAAGACACATTTAAAGTAATGAACGTGCGGGACATATACACTGGTGTGCAAAAATTAAGGACGAGACGGTTTTTCCAATATAACTTTGTACAAAAGCTTTCCAAATCAACACATTTAATACCGTAAGATCCCCAATACGTAAGGACATGAGTAATGTAAGCAACACTTACTAAAAGAGAAATCAGAGGGATAAAAAGAAGCTTTATTGAAAAAGTAGCATGGAGCGCAATGCAACTGAAGGCCGAAACATGCCTGTGATGGGTGTCCAGCAAGAAACATCCGGTCTTTTAATAGGGGATATGATCTCCCCTGACTGCTAAGCAGGTTTCACAGTGTCTGCCCATGCTGAGAATGAGGGTGTCAGCGAGCTGTTGAGGCATTGCTGCCCATTCGTCTTGCAGCGCCAATCGAAGCTCCGGAATCGTTACTGGTGGTAAGGTACGAGCTGCCAAGCGTCTGCCTAGAAAATCCCATACATGCTCGATGGGATTCAGATCCGGAGATCGTGCCGGCCAATCCATACGTTCAATATCCTTACTCTCTAAGAGCTGTTCGGCAGCTACTGTGCGATGACATGGTGCATTGTCGTCCATGAAAAGGAACTGCGGACCCATAGCGCCTCTAAAAAGACGCACATATGGAAGAAGAATCTCGTTACAATAACGGGTCCCGTTGACTGAACCTGCGTCGAAGATGTGAAGGTCTGTACGACTACCAAGCATGATGCCTCATGATGTTCGAGGGATGATTGCGGCTTCACGGCTCTCTCCAGATGAGTATGCGATGAGAATCGCTACTCAGACTGAATCTGCTCTCATCTGTAAAGAGTACTCGTCCCCATTCATTGTCTCTCCAATGCCGGTGTTCCCGGCAGCACAGAGAACGCCTTCTCCGATGGGCAGGCGTTAGAGGTACACACCGTACAGGGCGTCGTGCAAACAGACCACCACCGTGCAGTCTTCTGACCACTGTAAAACGCGATATCGGTCGTCCAGTCGCCTGTGTCGTTTGTCTAGCCATTTCTCCCGCTGTCTGCCGCCTGTTTCTTCTGTCCTGTAAGGCAATATACCGGTCATCTGCTGGTGTGGTTCGTCGTGGACGACCACTACTAAACCCCGAATAGCTGTTCCTGTAGTTTGAAATTGTCTCCAAAGTCGTGAAACGATGCTGTGAGCAATTCCGAACTCTGCATCCACACTTGTCACCCGCGGCCTTCCTCCAACTTCCCAATGATTCGACCTCGGGTAAAAGCATCCAGATGTCGTCTAACAGATTGATTATTCGCCATTTCTTGCTGAGGCATCAACTCGGTGTGATTTTAACTGCGATACGGCGTGCAATCTCTTTGCCAGAAATACTGATCTTACACCGACAACATGCTTTATACTGCTCAGACACTCCCCCATTACGTCTACCTGCATATCTGCGCATGTGCTACCGTACATCACCTTACTTAATCTCCTGATTGGTCTTTCTGTCCGCTCTGCCTCTTCGTTCAGCTGATATGCTAATTTTTCGACTTTGTTATTAATTTTTGCACACCAGTGTATATCTCAGTACCCTGAAAAGAAAAGTGAAAAGCCCAAATAAAGACGTAGATTAAAGACCATGGATTACATTAAATTAAAAACGTGGATTACATAAAATATATTTTAATGTATTGCTTTTCAAATAAACATAAACCAATAAAAACGCTTGTGACTTTTACAATATTTTTTATTCTTGCAGATAAATACATTTTTGCTTTTGTTTGCTTTCAGATATGGTTTAGATTTCATTTCAACGCGAGTTTATTTTCCTCAATGAAGAGTATTTCCTCCTGGGCAACTGATAAAAAATTCTCAAATTTTGTTTCTCTGTACTGAGCGACAAACATATCAACTGAAAGTGATGGGATGTACAGAACAGTTCGAGAGAATGAAAATGAATCAATAAATGTACAACCTTTTTTTGTGCATTGAAACGCACAAAAAATGATCCCACATACATTTATATATGCGTTATACTCATATATGTGTGTATTTATATGTTTTTGTGTATATATATGTATATTATGTATATATGTAATAGTAACACTAATGCTTTTTCCATTAGTTATCACTGTTATATAATGTGCTGCTAAGCTCCATCATTTCGGTGCATATATAAAATATTTTGTGATTAAGTGAAAGAAGACAATTCGAGTATTCATGGAAATGAAGCTTTTAAAAAATATAGCAATGTGTTTTCTGATTATTTATTTATTTATATGTTCATTCGCTTTTTGCTTATTTATTTATTTACTTATTTTCTTTTTAATTTTGACACGCAACGTTTACAGTTTGTAATTCAGTAAACACAAAAAGTCGTTTTTAGCAAGATTACTGAATTTTAATTACTGACTACTGATTACTGAATTTTAATTACTGACTACTGATTACTGAATTTTAATTACTGACTACTGATTACTGAATTTTAATTACTGACTACTGATTACTGAATTTTAATTACTGACTGTAAATTTAGTCTACATTTGTAAATTAACTAAAAGAAGGAAATTTACTAATCGCGAAAAATTATCCCTAAGGTCAAGAATTTAGTAAGATTGAAATAACGTTATACAGTTTGACCTTCTAAGCATAGCAAATATCAAATTCCACTACACTTGGAGCTAAGTATCGCTGAGTCTGAAGATAGCGGCAAACCTTTCCATTAGATGAGCCAATGAAGCTTAAATAACAATTAAGGCTAGTATTAATCTAGAACTACATGACTGATTACGCCTAGTAGTCAAAGACTACACTGTACAGTCATGATGCTGTTTTAAAGCAACAGACGTGAAAATTGTGCAATGCCCTCGCTGATACTCGAACCCTAGACCTTTCGAATACGCGTCGAATATGTACCCAACTACACCACGAAGACATGCAGAAAGGAGGGACAAAATAACTTATAATAATCTTGGTAACCTGGCCTCGAGGGGCAGAAACACACTCTGTCTTATCATCCAAAAGCCTCTACTTAAACACTCATTAACTGATTTGCATTCGTTGAGGAAACGAAAAGGGAATTGATAGTAAAGTTGAAATTATACACATTAAATTATAAGGTATTTCTCCCGCCTTCGTAGTGTAGTGGTCAGCACACTCGGAGCGCTTTCGAAAGGTCCGTGGTTCGAGTCTCGGCGCAGTGCTCATTTTTTATCACTCCTACTTTCAAAAAATACCTAATGTCTCTACACTTTGATAACATAACTAATAACGGATAACTTCACTAAATAACTGACTAATAATGCAACACGGGGGAGGCGTAGCATTAGGAGATAAGTTTTGGTATATGATAAAAAATGCGAGTTGGAGAAATGAAGATTAAGAACAGCTGTTGTAGACAAAGTAATTCTAATGAGATCATCTATCGCTTCTACAAACGGTTTGTAGTACCTTTGTAGGAGGTTACAAGAAATTACGACCTTGAGGAGCAGTTCTTTCTCATTGCATCTCCCTTTGCTGACTTCGGACAATAATTCTTTATTTATTAATTTACCACATTAGGGAACCCCAAATATGAAGTGAGCAAAGCTCTTAATTGCCTCTTTACATATTAGCCACATTCGAGCTTCTTAACTTCAGTTATTTTAAATGTAATTTCTCATATTTAAATTAAAATTCTATCTTCTTTGATTGTTGATTCTCTGATGAAATGACGATAAATATACAAATATATAGTTAAACTTTTCACTGAAATAATTTTATTTTTATTTTTGGGTATTAAATTTAAATATATGCTCTTTTTATTTTCATTCCACCTAATGGTACTGATTGCTATTTACGTCTCTATTTCAATTTTCATATGCTTTTAAGTTTGTTGATGGAAATGTAAATTATTTTACCATTTTCTTAAAGTTCTTGTAGTCATAAATGCTAATTTTTTTATAAAACAATAGCATTTACTATTGTAAAGTTATCGATTTTAAAAGTGTTTATATGTCATATTTTGTATTATATATGTATTATATATTATATTTGTATTATATATATGTATATTATATATGTATATACTGAGAATGTGAAATTAATAAATGTCTATAAGACATAATACAGTTGTGAAATATTTATTCTTGTGATCATGACATAATGTTATACATTTCGTTTAAAAACAAAAATTAAGTTCCAAAGCTAAGCAAAGCAGTGCTTGATTTTGATAATATTCATGCATTTCGCCTAAAATTATTATTATTTCATATTTTAAGAAACTGATTTGTTTGTCTGGTGCAAATTTAAATCTAAAATTAGCATTTCATCCTAATCTGGATGCCTGATTAACGAAGGCAAGATCTGGCATATGCAGATAAAAGAACATCATATTAACGTTTTTCAGTCATGTAAATTGTTTCAACAGAAATCTTACTAAATTTCAAATACAAAGTAAAAATTCACCTTAACTTGGATCACTGATTAATGTCAGCAGAGACCTAACACGGACAGACAATCTAAAAACTACGACCGTTTTCAGTCATGTATAATGTACTGAATTGTTTGAGCAGGGAATTTCATTAATTTCAAGTATAAGTTCTACGGACATGCTCTAACAGATTCATCTTTTAACGCTAACAGCAAAGCAAAGTAATATAGCTTCCCCATTATAATGGTGAAACTGTATAATGTGGTATTCTTTGTTAACACACTGTCCATCAAGTTAGGTTAAAATAACAATTTAGAATCAGTGTAATATTTGCAAATTTTGCAGGAATAGTTTCAATGGTTTGCTACTTGACCAGCTGCCTAAGTGCAAATATCTTCTCAGCTGCCAAAGAGCATTCTCCATTTGCAGTTCGACAGCTGAGGAAGATGGATCTGTAGTTAAAATATCGAAACTACTCCTGCAAAAATTTACAAATATTATATTGATTTTTGTTGTTTAATTTCTCCATTAAACATCCCCCATCTTTAAAAATCTAAAAATTGAAGTAAATTAAGAAACAATTTACTTAACTTAATATTTAAAAATAACAAATTCTCTAATCCCAACATAAATATACTAATTAGAAATATCAAGTTATCACAAAAAAATATATTATACAAATACATCATCAAAGATCTATAAAATGCTTCAAAACTTACTAAATTTACTAGCTAAATTTTCATTTAATTCAGCTTTTGAAAACATATGCCTTTATAAATCAAACACAAAATATGCAGAATAATTTTACAAAGTTATATAAAAACGATGGGTAAACATATTTTGTTGTTACATGGAGAATATACCACATGTGGTCTTTTTATCATAATTCTTGTCTTATCAGTTAAAACCAGGTAAACAGGAAAAAGTCTATAATTCTATAAGAAACATAATGAGGAAAAAAGTATTTTCCTTTTAAGAGAAAAAGCATAGTTTTAGTGTAAAATTTCCTGCCCTTCTAAGATGATTATGATAATCAGTTTGCCAACGTTAAGATATAATCTGAATTAATTTGGTAGCAGTCAGGATTGTCTATTTTCTGCACTAGGAGATAAAGGAGGCTAAAGGTAAAAGGAAAACTCTACAGTTAGAAAATACCCTTGTCATGCCCTTGAAGAATATATTAATCATTATATGCTAACACATAAGTATTTCTGATATAATAATTTTCAGCTTCGCATATTTTTTAATGTGAGAATATTCTACGTATAAAAATTTTCTAAAATGACTAAAATGTTGGTATTTCCGAAAGAAATCTTCCAACAAGTATTCCTCTACCATTATTTAGTACATTAATATTTTTAGCTTACTAGATAAAATTACTTAATGCGAATTAAAGCGAATGTTTAAACACATACCTTTGTAATAACAAGTGCAGGAACATTATAAAAAACTAGTTTCAGAATTCAATTTTCTTTTAAATGACAGTAAAATAATTTACTTTTGAACACCTAAACATGGCAAATGTAAGCATTGTTGAATCATAAAGTGCATCTTTGCCATTGCCTTTCTCAGCACCTAAAAATATTCCCAATTAATATAGACGAATATAATTCACAAAAAAAAATACAATTAAGCGCATGAAATTAATCATTTGAAATCAAAAGCTGAAGAAACCCACATTCCCCTCCTCTGTACTCTAATCTGGACCTCTGAAATACGTGCCAAGTGTGCTACCGTTACACCACGAAGGCAAGCTGGAAGCAAAGGGAAAATACGTCATATTATAACCAGAGTATTAATGATTTGGTTATTCAATTATAATACAGTAAACATTGGGAAAGCCCTTTTTAAGGAACAATTGTTCTCATTCTTGTTAGAAAGAAAGTCAAAGAAAGTCATTAAAATTTCCATGCTGATACTCTTTTATCAGGACATGAAATCAGATAAAGCTGAAAATGTGAGCAAATGTATCACTGCAAGCAATCTGGATATCATCAATATACGAAGTTGCTAGTATAAAAAGAACAAAACCACAAGAATCACTTCTAAGCTAGTCATCCAATTATGTTAAGTTTGAATGGTAGGTAAATACAGTTTGATTACATTAAAAAGCAATCTAGGTATGTATCATATTGTTGCTTGCGTTATTTTCTTCCTTCCCGTTCGTACGGGGTTCGTGTGAATTTGGAGTGAATAACGACGACACTTGATGAAATATCGAAACACACTTTATTGGCCAGTATTGTCAGGACAGCTCCAAAACACTTTTTACAGTCGTCGAAGGTCTACTATAAACACGCTGGAACGATCAGCGACACAGCTTTCACACTGTCAGGCAATAACGGTGGAGACAGCTTCACTGCAAAGCACCAGAGTACAGCTTCCAACTCTGTTTGGTCGTTCTCGAAACTCCACGTACTTTCGAGACTCTCCACGTGATGCACTCGACGATACACAAGAGTATAGCTCTCGACTCAGGACAGTCTAAGACTAAACTCGACTATGCACTCGGCGCTAGACTTCGAGACACTCGCTCAATGACTGACTATCAGCTCACTAGACGAAGCACACATACTCGATGAAAGACACACACTCATTAACTGGCTGCGGACCAGCAGGGTTTATATAGCTTTCGGCTTGTGTTCGGGAACATTCTGGGCTAAACCGGTAAGAATTCGTCCCAGAAGGTTCTCCAACAGTCCATGGTCTATCGCCAATTTTGTCGCCAAATCGGCGATGTCTCGCCAAATGTGGCAACCCAGACCACCTTTGCCATTTTATGGCAACCCTAAAACTGCTTTGCGGAAGCCATCTTACCGCGCCTGTACATTTCGTAACAATATATTTTGAAGAAAATTCTATCGACTTAAATGACCTATAAGAACGGTAAATGTACTTTCCTGAGTACCCTGATATGATTTATCAACATGAAATGACTAAATAAAACATCTTGTCTGATAAAAAATTTGAACACCCTGGCTGTATCTATCAAAAATGTCTCCACTTGCATCCATCATAATATTGAACGCCCTCAATCTTTCCAGAGTTGCCACTGACGGTAAAGAAAATATTGAATATGTACCATGCTTTTGATACAACTTAGTTTTGCATGACGCTTTTTTTGTTCCCTCTTCTGAAATCAAAGTTGCAAGGTGAGCATTTCAATGTCCCTTTTGAACACAGGAGATGTGATTCTACAGAGAGGCCAAAGATAAAATCTAACTCATCCTATTGAACTATATGTGAATATAAGAATTACTTCAAAAAGATATATAAGATGGATTCCGAAAAATTTTATTCATCCGCAATAAATTCATTTTCATTCTTTTTGATTTGTCCTCATAACTTAAATTATAATTGTTTTCTTGACCAATCACATAAAAAAAAGTTATTTATTTAGGGAATTTAATTCACTAATTTTAAATATATATCAATGTATGAAATTTTTCCTTGAATAGCAAATGAAATAAAATTACACAGATACAGTCAATATTTTTATATGCAAATATATGCAATCTACTTAAGCAGTTTTAAGAGATACCCCGTAACGTCTTTCATATTAAAATTACACTATTACATAGTGATGTTATCAGTTTCAAAAGCAAGTTATACATCCGATTACATAGACCTTGGCTGTAAAAAAACATCAAATAGTAAATAGTTTATCGAAAAGTGAGGTATTTCAGTATTTATAGATCATCATATTATAGAGACATTAGGTATTTTTTGGAAGCAAGAAAGATGAAAAAGGAGCAACGCCTTCTCGGGAATCGAACCACGGACCTCTGGAATACGCGCCCAGCAGGCAGACAACTACATCACAAAGACACGCTAATAAGGCGGGAGAAATTCCTTATAATGTAATTGCAATTAACTGAAAATTCATTATCACAACCATATTTTTAAGTGATATACATTATTAAGCATTTTAAAATATTTAAGTTTGGATATTATATGCAGAACTGTGTAAATGTATATGAGTTAAATAAAACAAGAAACGAAATCAAACAATGAACATCATTAAAAAATTTCAAACTAGAAAACTAGAAGAATTTAGTTTAGAAATCTCCCACTTATTGTAAATTACCTTAACAAACTTCTTCATTTAAAATGAAATAAGAATTAACCAAAATATTTTTGACTGACTTCAAAGAAATCCTTCACCTACAATTTCATAAAATTTGAATAACAAATTCCTTCCTTCATGATAAAATTTATTTTGAAGAAAACTGCTAGATATTAAACATATCATTTAAGTTTTTTTTTTCATGTTTCATGCAATACATACCAAACTATACTAAGCTGAAACCATAAAAACAAAATGCATAGAACTTTTTTACTTCCTTGTTGTTACTTTTATTGTAATCGCAAAAAGTTTCAGGCAGCATATTTCAACGAAAATATCCATTTTGACCACTTTCGAATGCAATTTAACGATGTTTTTGCGTGATATCTGTACGTAAGGACAGAATAAAAGACTCTTTTCCTCCAAAAAAATCATAAAACTG